ATGAAATCACTGCGAACGTATTAGTTTTAGGTATAAATAATGATCTATTGATTATTCCTTGCTGACCAGATTTCTCCTTTAATGAATAAAGGTGTATTTGGGCCAAACAGGACCGGTTTCTCCTTCAGAGCAGCTGTTCTGTTTTAATGTTACTGTTCTAGGGTCTGAATGGCTGCATTGGGACCCGTGTTTGGTCCGATCATCCACTGACTCGTCAGGCACTTTGGGTTGTCGTTCTTGAATCCGCAGACGGGAACGTCGAGAGGTTTGTTTCCATCCAGCCAGTGCACAGCTGCTCCAGGAACAGGCATCAGGTGCTCCTCAGAGCTGTTGTAGACCAGAACCACCTGCGGGGGAAACACAGGAACCACTGAGTTTATCTCCTTTACGGGAGAACAGAACCAACCCAAACTGCCTCATCTACAGCGCCTCAAATTCTAAGGAATCCTCTGACTTTGTCCGAGGTCTTGCTTTCTAATCGGAACAAGTTGGTTCCCATTAGAAACCTTCCTGTCATCCAGATGCTTCTGGATGACAGGAAGGCAGATAGAAGCTTAGCTCAGACTTCTTCTCTATAGACTGAACAATGTTCCAGTTCATTTATCCATGCTGAGTTTACCTGGTAGACGCCGCTGTTGGTGTCCATCAAGTCCCACAAAGCAAAGTCCATCTCCCTGTCCCCATTCTCATCCAGCTGGACCGGCCCTGTTACACCTGAGGACGCACAAACCAAAAGATCAGACTTATTAGCTCAGATGGTCCAGACCAGGTTGTGCTGAAGGTCAGAGCTGCGGCCGGATTTCAGTAGCTGTGATCGATCCAGCTGAAGAAAACTAAGCGGGTCTGGAATACTTCAGCTTGTTGGTTCATCACGCTGAAATGTTCGGTGGGTTTCAAAGTTCTGAGCTTGGATCGGGTTAGGATAATTAAAAGGGAGATTTACAGGACAGACGAGACAGAAATCTAACTCTAGACCCGGAGAGTAACAGCTGGAAACATCAGCATCAGTAAGCTGTTACATTAGTAATTAAGGATGGTTTATATTAACCTGACTCCGCCAGATGGATTTGCTCCGCATATCCATCTGGAAACCTTCCGTTGAAGTAATTTTGGGAAGGGCCTGATTGGCCTATGTTGGTGATAGACGGGCCAAATAAACCAATCAGATCAATGCCTTACAGAAACCTGGCTGCAGCAAGAGGATTATGTGAGCATAAATGAGGCAACTCCTTCAAGCTATTTAAATTTTCACATACCCAGAAGTTCTGGGCGAGGAGGAGGAGTAGCAGCAATCTTCCAGTCTGACTTACTGATTACTCCCAAAACAGTTAATACCTACAACTCTTTTGAACATTTAACCCTTAATTTCCCTTCAACTTGTATGTTAGATCCAGTTCCAACCAGGTTA